GTAAGTCAGGAAACGTTTATCGGATGAACAGTGTCTGCAGAAATAAAGACCCCCCCCCCATGAGGACAAACGGGCCGTTTATCCAGAGCTTGGGAGTCAGCCCCCAGGTGAGATAGGCCGACCCACAGGTGGGGATGCTGGAGGCAGAGAAGGTGGTGCAGGTGCCCAGAGGGGAGTGGGGGGCGTCCCCCCTGATTGCTTAGGGGGCATATTTGGCTGGTCCTGACTTGGAAGTGGGGAGAGCCCAGGGAAGCTGGGGTCACTGACCCAGTGCTGGCTGTCCGGCGGGTTGCTGCAGGGGCTGTGGTCAGCTTCCCCTGCTCCCGTGTGGCCCCGCCCACTTACATGCCCTCCCTCCTGCACACTGGTGAAAGTCTCTGGCGGGGGCGGGGCGGAGGTAGGAGGGGAGTTCCACTGACTTTGCCCTGGGCTCCCTAGGCCTCAGTCCTCCTGATTCTCCCTCGGGGTTGGAGTCTTTTCTGGAATTACGGCTTGACTGGTCTCACTTCTACACAGAGGAGCCGGTGGGGCCCAGGATACAAAGGCAGGACCGCTGAACACTTGAGCGCTTACCAACGGCCGGGAAGAGATTTTCTGCAAGAACTGTGCAGTCCGGCGCATGTGCCCATGTGGCCGGCTTCTCTGTGTGGAGGTGTGCGGAGGCCTCCTGCCCTGGGGCCAGGGCCCTGGTTGGGGGCACGTGGCCTTGTCTCAGAGATGGCAAAAGTTGCAGGGTGGGGAAGGCCCCAAAATATGGCAGTCACGGTTCAGGGAATAGTATATTGGGATCTGTAATCTTGGGCAAGGTTTGGCATCAGCTTTTATTTGCCAGATTGAGATACTATGGAATCATACCTGATGTTGAGGTTTGGAAGGAAAGACTGTGAACAGATGGACAGATGTCTGGTCTGAGACATTTATAAACAAATATCCAAGAAAAGAGACTCCATTTATAAAAGAATATATATATATATATTTTTAAAGATTTTATTTATTTATTTGAGAGAGAGAATGTGCGTGCACGAGTGGCAGGGGTGGCAGAGGGAGCAGGCTCCCCGCTGAGCAGGGAGCCTGATGCAGGACTCGATCCCAGGACCCCAAGATCATGACCTGAGCCGAAGGCAGACATTTAACCGACTGAGCCACCCAGGCACCGCCATAAAAGAATATTTTAACATAAGTGGGGGTTGTGAATGCCAGTTCTTCAAGTTCAGGAACAACTCTGCCTCCAGGGCTGGTGAGGAGGGCCTGTGCCTCGGCCCCCATTCCCCCCACCCCAGAAAACAGAGGGGGAGTGGCCAGCAGAACGGGATGCCGCCCAGCTCCTCAGTACAGCACAGGGAGCCCATGTGTCCACACCCCAGGAGAGGGGCCTCAGAAGAGATGGCCCTGCCCACACCTGGGTCTGGACATCCAGCCTCCAGGACGGTGAGGGACGAATGTCCATGGTTGGGCCGCCCACCGTGTGGTATTTGTTGCGAAGCTCTAGTGGACTGGTATAGATGTCCTGCGTGAGTGGTTAAGCAGCATATGTGGTGTCTCAGGCTGGTCCTGAGTTGGGAAAGCTGTTGTCGTCAGCTTAGGGCTGGTCATCCAGGGCCAGCTGAGAGACTGGAGTTGGCTTCTGCAGTCTGGGGGCCAGAGTTCCACCTTCATGGACCGTCTGGCAATCGTCTGTTTGGATGTTCCGTCATCCAGGACCAAAAGATGGGTCTTGGGTTGCACCATGGAGATACTTGGCCACCCCGTGAGAGCTGTTTCTGAATGGTGTGAACAAGAGCCTGACCTCGGGGGCCTGGGGGTCTGGGAAGTGCTGGTGGGAGCCTCCAGGTGGGCGGCCTCAGTGGCCCCCAGAACATCCGGGCTGAGGCCGCCCCGGAAGGCTGTGCTCACGCCCGCCATGCGCTATGTTGGGCAGCAAGTGCCCCCCCCCCCCACTCACACATCGCCATCTGCCAGGAGGTGAGACCCCCACGTAGACTTTGCCACTGCTTCTCTGGGGAGGGGGGAAGTATTTAAACACCATTACCACCCACACTGAAATAGACTGTGAAGTGCTTTTTCACAGGTGAAAAGTGAACGCACAATGGCGCGGCCTGTGCCTCGCCCAGCGGCTTCCCTGCTCTCTGCCTCCCTGTCTGTCCATCTTCAACAGCAGATCAAATAGGCTCCCAGTTTATGCATCTCTTTGGAAACCAATTAGCAAAACTTGTGAATGAAATGCTCTAGCAGTGCTTTTGTCGCGTATGAGCCACAGTTTGTTGCAGATAAACTGAACTATAAAATGACAGAAAACCCAAAACGCAGACAGGTGGTGTATCCTATGACTTGCTATTTTTGTTAAGCGAACTAAAAACAGAGCAAAACTCCTCTAGCCTCTCTGAGATGTCTGTGTTGCTGAATTTGTCCTTGTGGGAATTTGCATTTCACACTGGCAGCAGGTAATTTCTGGATACTTCTGTGAGGTGAACTGATACTGTGCTGACACGTGTTGTAGATGCTCTGGGGAAAATGCCGCCTTGGTCTTCAGATCAGCGGGTGTTCCTGTTGATGTGAGTTGAGCAGCAGGTAAATCAGAGCCGTCAGGGCCCCCTCCCTGCCCCAACACCTCGCTCTGGCTGCAGCGTCTCCTCATGACCTTCCTGACTGGCAGCCTGCCCCCAGCTAGGCGTCGCCGGGCAGCCCTGTGCTGGCTCCACCATCCACAGTCCTGCTCGGTGCCCGGGCCCTCCTCCGCCATCTGCGTCCCCTCCAAGCATGCCGGCCACCGTGTGTCTGCCTTTCTCCCTGGGGGGTTTCTGTGTTTCTAGATTCCTGGCACCCAGCACGGACCAGCCCCGTGGGGAGGACTCATCTTGCAGTCCGGAGTGCTCCCCGCCTCGGGACCTTGAGCAATCTGGGAAGCTTGGCAAACAGAATTCCACCATGCTTTTCAGCACAGGTGACCCCAGTAAGGGACAAAGGGGTGAGGTGAGCATGGCTTCCCTGGAATCCTCTGGAAACCAGAGGTTCAGGGGACACAGAAGGGACAGGGGGAGCCCACCCTTCCCCTCACAGACAGGGAAACAAGGTCCCAGAAAGGCTCAGCTGTCCTCCCAAGACCCTGCAGCAAATAGAGGGAACCTGGGATGGGAACCCAAGGCAGGTCTGAGTTTAAGGCTCGTGGGCCCTGGGTCAGGGGTTGGCAGTCCTGAGGGGAGCCCTGCCAAGGGTGCAGAAAGACAAATTTGAGGAGAGGTCTGGAACATGGACGAGGAGGGGATGGAGAGCAAGCAGGAAACACAGGCCTGGGGCTAGAGGTTCAGAGCTGAGTAGGGGGACACGTCCTCCTGTGCCCGCAGGGCTTTGGAAGACAGCGTGTTGGGGTTTGAGGCCTCAGTGTCAGACCGCTCCCCACAGGCTCTGACCTCCGGAAGACACCAGAAAGAACAGGGAGTGAAGGCTGATGGACTCCGGGTTGTGCTATGGGATGATGGAATGTTCTGGAACTAGATAGAGGAAGTAGTTGCACAACATTAAGAATGCACTAGATAGGGGCACCTGGGGGTCTCAGTCGGTTGAACATCCAACTCTTAGTTTTGGCTGAGGTCAGGACCTCAGGGTCATGAGATTGGGTCCCTGAGCTGGGCTCTGCACTCAGCGGGGAGTCTGCTTGAGATTCTCTCTCCCTCTGCTCCTCCCCTCTGCTCGTGCTCACGTGCTCTCTCTCTAATCCTTTTTAAAAAGTGCACTAAATGCCCCTGAATTGTTCACTTTCTTATTTAAATTTTTTAAAAAGATTTTATGTATTTACTTGAGAGCGGACGCCTGAGAGAGCACAAGCCGGGGAAAGGGCAGGCAGAGGGACAAGCAGACTTCCCGCCGAGCAGGGAGCCTGATGTGGGACTCGATCCCAGGACCCTGAGATCATGACCTGAGCCGAAGGCAGACACTTAACCCCCTGAGCCACCCAGATGCCCCAATATCACCTTATTTAAAAAAATAAAAGAACTAGGGGCAAAATTGAGGGCCAAACTGTCAGCTTTATGAATGGCCAGCCAGGCAACCAGCCAAATACCCGAATGCAGGTGGGGGCAGCTCAGGCTTAGATCTGAGGCTAAGCTGGGACTCCTCCCAGATCCAGGACTGGAGAGTCAGCTGTGCCTGGGGGCTGCTGTGCCCACTTCCCCAAACTGCAGGGGCTGCACCCCAGAGTGTGGGTGGGGTCGGCTGGGCCCCGTGTTGTCCTGCCCGCCTGGGGGACATAGGAGCTGGACTGAGCAGGGGGGCTCAGCAGTGAGGGTCCCACAGGTGCTCTCTAACAGCAGAGAGGCTCCTGTTTAACTCAGAGAGGCACAGTCATTCCCCAGAGAAAGGGGTGTTGAATATTCGTTTCCCACTCAGTGATAAAAAGAGATTGGCTATCAGGTAAGTCATAGAAGACCCGTGGGGGGAACTTAAATGAGTCTTAGGGAGTGAAGGAAGCAGTCTGGAAAGGCTGCATTTGTAGGGTTCCAATTCTAGGACATTGGCGAAAAGGCACAATGATGGAACCAAAAAAGATCCCCCAAAAGATCCATGGCTGCCAGGTTTTCGTGGGCAAAGAAGAACAGGTGGAGCCTAGGGGTTTCAGGGCAGTGAAAACACTGTGTGCTAATGTGGTGGCATTTGTCCAACCCACAGAACATCCAGCACCAGCAGTGCGCCCTAAGGAAGCTGTGGACTCCCGGCTGTAATAACGTATCAATCAATATCAGCTGACCAGTTGTAACAAGGCCACCGTGCCCACACGAGTTAGTAATAGGGAAACACGCAGGGGAAGCGGGGCTATATGGGAACTCTCTGTACTTGCTGCACGATTTTTCTGGAAACCTAAAACTGCTCTAGAAAATAATGTCTATTAATTAAAAAAAAAAACCTATCTTGCAAGGGAGACTGGGGCGGGGGAAGGAAGCAGGTGCCCATGCGGGTGCTGTGGGGGCAGGGATGGCCTTCTTGGGCACTGACAAGCCGCGAGCCCAATGGCGAGTGCCGGGCATCTGCTACTGCTGTCGTCACTGCTGTCCGTGTCCTTGGCCTGGGGGACCAAGAGCTTTTTCCTGTTCCATAAGGTCAGTGCGCACCCTGCGGCATTGCACCCATGGAGGCGGCCCCCACTCGGGCTCTCTGGGGCTCCCAGCTCCTTTCCTGCAGGTGCCTGCTCCCACAAGTCTTGTCTGGGCTCCTGGAAAGGAGGCTGCCTGGGAGCACAGCCTCCTCCCCAGGCACTGGGGCCCCCAGTTTGGCTGATTCTGGCGCCCGGGGCCCCAGTACCAAATCCAGGCCGGAGAGCAGCACGGTGGGGGTGGGGTGGGGGCGGAGCGAAGCGTCTCTGCTGGGAGGGGTATGGGCAGCGTGAGAGTGCCTGTCCTGGCGTCCACTCTTCACCTTCCTAACGCACAAGTCCCCCAGCGTCCCGGCACCCACTGCATCCTAGAGGCTCCCTCGGTGCCCCAGGGCGGGAGTGACCTTCCTCCTCTGGCCGCTTCTCACCTGCAAGGCCGCCTCACTGGGCTCCAGGCCCCGGTATCCGAGCGCCTTCCCAGCTTCAATTTTATGTCAGTAAGATCTTCAAACCCAAACCAAAGTTCTCACTGTGAAAACCTGCGACCGAGTCTCCAGCGTGGAAGCATCAGCCCCGAGTGCTCCAGGACCCCGCGGTCCGTGGGCCGGCTGGGGGACCCCCTGCACTCGGTTGGCTCCTGCTGGTTGTGTGTGAGGCTCTGCCCTGCACCTCCCTCCCCCGGGGGCACAGGTGGCATCTCCCAGGACTCGGGACCCCCGACCACCTACAGTCCCGAGTCGGGGGAAGCCAGGCGGGAAGCGCCGGCCCAGGGCAGAACGCGCCACTCTGCACTCAGCGTTTTGTTTTACTTCGGAAAATATACCCATTTTTCATAAAAAGTTGTTATTTATGTTAACATGGTACAGGGATCCTATTTTTAAATAGGTTTATGCATAAATAGGTAAAACTTCTCTCAGAGTTAGTGCCCACGCTGGGAAAGTCATTAGCTAGAACCCACACCAACATCAGCTTTGGGCACCTTAGTAAGTTTTTGAGTTTGCAAAGGAGTTTTCAGACCAAAGGTTTGAGAACTTGGATCAAAGGCCTCGAGAGCAGGCGGCCTCCCGTGGGTGGGGTGGGACCCCAGCCGCAGCTCCGGGCTGGCTCTGTGACCCCGGAAGGCACTTGCCCTCTCTGAGCCGGTGCCTCGGTTCACCCTCCTGTCCACGTGGCTCACGACAGGCACAGACCTCCTTAGCTCCCTCCCCCTCTTTCCTCTGGCTCCCCCGGCCATTGGACCCACCAGGTCTGGAATATTCCAGGAACCTGCAAGGTTCGCAGGAGGAAGGGGAGGGTGTTCCTGAATGGAGACGCCCTAGCAGGAAGCTGGGTCTGCCGTGAGGGCCTGTAAACGGCGCCGGCTTTGCAGAGGATGGGAGAGGCATGCGAGGACCACGCCGAGTGCCAGAGCCGCTGCTGCGTCACCAGCAGCCAGATGCCGCAGACGTTCTGCACGCCCAAGACCATCCTCCTCAAATGTCTGCCCTGGCGGAAGGTGCGTCCGGCACGGCGGCCGGCCGGGGCGGGGGGGAGGGGGGGAGGGGGGAGGGGGAGGAGAGGGCACCGCCGCCCACAGCCGCCGCCCGCGGAGGGGGAGGGGCCGCTCCAGAGCTCGCGCTCGGTGCGTGGCAGCCCAACAGGTACGCCTGCTCTGACCACGCCGAGTGCCGGAGCCGCTGCTGCGTCACCAACAGCCTGAACCCGCAGACGTTCTGCACGCCCAAGACCATCTTCCTACAGTGTGTGCCTTGGCGCAAGGTGAGAGGGCGAGACGCGGCCGGGGTCGGGGCGCGAGGGCGGGAGGCGGGTGCCAGGCTCCCGCTCTGCGTCCCCAGCCCAACGGGGCCTATTGCACCCACCACAAGGAGTGCCGGAGCCAGTGCTGCATCAAGCTCAAGGAGGCCGGCCGCTACCGCTGCACCCGCCCGAGCGGGCTCCTGGCCCAGTGCCTGCCCTTGGTGAGCCCCTCACCCGTGGGACGGAGGTGCCTCCGGCACGGAAGGGTCCTGGATGTGCCTGAGGTCCTGCAGCCGCTGAATGTGGCTGTCTCCAAACCCAGTGGGCGTCCCGTTCCGGGAGAGGCTCACACCTGCTGTCTGGAGACTGGCCTCCAGGTCCGTTTCGCGCGGACGAGGCCTCAGGAAAGGAAAGAGGTAACGGGCAGGATGGGGTCTGCGGTCAGGGTCCCTGTAGGAAGCAGGTGCCATGTGCCTGGTGAAGGGCCATCAGATGTGTGGCTGGGTGGTGAACCCCAAGCACCAGGCGGCATCAGGATTCGCAACAGTGGGGCTGAGGGAGGGGAGGGGGACAGACAGGCCCAAGGGAGGACCTCTCCGGAGCTGCTCTCTCCTTCCACCCTCTCCTTCTGGACCCTTGTGATAGCTGAACAGTAACTGCAAAACCAGAAGGGCAGAGGTCAAGTGACACAGCCCCAGAGGTCAGCCTCCTAGGGCACAAGATGTGCTCAGTGCCCTGGAGACAGTGGGGGGCACATGGGGACATGGGCAGATGGAGACCAGGGTGGGGATCAGAGACAGGGTGGTGGGGGTGGAGACGTGGGGACAAAGATGGGGGACAGAGATGGGGCAGAGATGGGGGACAGAGATGGACAGAGTTGGGGACAGAGATGGGGCAGAGATGGGGGACGGAGATGGGGGGACAGAGATGGGGGACGGAGATGGGGGTGGGTATTGGAGACAAGGGAGTGGACGGTTGGAGATGGGGGGCCACAGCAACTGGAGAAGGGCTTCGGGGTTGTGGAGAGAACACGCGGGTGCCCTGTGTGGGTGTTTAGGTACTAGCTTGAGGCTGGGATTGGTAACTTCTGTCTGATCATGAAGGGGTCTCTGCTCCCACAGGTAAGGACCACATTTTTGAGCACAGAACCCCATCTTGCTAACTGCGCTGTCATCAACTCCTAGAGTAGCACCGGGCACAGCGGGGGCTCACAGAAATGTGTTCACTGCTGGATTCCCACTGCTGCCTTTGCCCCCGAGGAGCCGATTATCCATCTGTGAGGGTGGGAGAGCTGCAAGGCACCTGTCTCTGCCTGTGCATTTTCTCACTTTTTCTCACTTTGTCCTTCAGTGACAGGGAAGAAAAGCTGCAAGGGGGAACCAGCACGGACTTCGCAGAAGCTCACCTGGATCTTGTGCCTGAGTTTGGCTGGGAGCTTAGCTCGTGGGTCCATGCTGCTCTTTCTGGGCTGTGAAAACCTGTGAGGCATTAGACACATCTGTCCCTTCTCCTATCAGTGAACTCCTGAGGCTGATTGTGAGCGTCTGCAAACAAACCGCAGCTACTGGAATCTTCACATCAATAAACACCTGCTGATTGACCCAACGTGTTTTGTCACATCCATTTTTTTTTTTTTTTCAGACAACAAAGGTAAAAGCAATCTGGGGAAGTTGAGTAGTGGAGTAGTGGAGTTGAGTAGTGGCCTGCTCAGGTCAAGTACAAGGTTGCCTTCCTGAGGATGCGCGTCTAATCAGAGATCAAGTCTTACCTGGAAGGGAAAGGGCCAGAGCTGGAGCATTTAAGATGCACGGTGGCAAGCCCTCCCTATGCACAAATGCCTCTTGTCCTTGCAAGTAGAAATAATCAGTCGATTGTTCCAAACTGAAAAGGGTCCGCTAGCTTGGGGCTGGGATCGGTAACTTCTTTTTTTTTAATTTTTTTTATTGTTATGTTAATCACCATATATTACATCATTAGTTTTTG